AGAATGATGTGTAGGAAAGGCAAGGGCCCCCAATGGGACACTTACCTGCCTGTACACCAATGCCAGGAGCTTGGGGAATAAGCAGGAGGAACTGGTTCTCCTGCTAAACAAGAATGACTATGATTTCATAGGGATAACAGAGAACTGGTGGGACTCCACCTATGACTGGACCACAGGTATAGACAGCTATACCTTGTACAGGAGAGTTCGTCCAGACAAAAGGGGTGGGGGGTGTAGATCTCTATGTCAAGGAAAGGTACACATCCCTGCAAGCTGATATTGGCACCCAGGGTGGATGACTGGAGACTGTCTGGGTTAAAATCCATGGTGAACATGGCACAGGGGACACAATGGTAGGAGTCTACTACAGACCTCCTACCCAAGATCAAGAGCTTGACCAGGAGTTCGCCAGGAACTGGCTGAGGTCGCACACTCCCAATGCATGGTTGTCATGGGAGACTTTAACTACCTAAACATCTCGTGGGAAGAGCACTTGGCCAAATCCGAACGGTCGCAAAGCTTTCTCACGTGCATGGATGAGCTTTATCTGATGCATGAAGTCTATGGGCTGAAGAGAGGTAAAGCAGTGCTTGACCTGGTAATGGCAACTTGATCAGTGACCTAACAATCAAAGGGAAGCTGGGAGACAGCGACCATGAGCTGATCACCTTCACCATCTGCCGTGAAGCTGGCAAGTCAGTCAGCAATGCAGAAGTCCTTGACTTCAGGAAAGCTAACTCTGACAAGCTCAGGAGGCTTGTTGGTGAGGCCCTAAGGGCCTAAGGAACCATGACCCAAGGGGGAGGGGAGTTCAGGATGAGTGGTTGCTCCTCAAGGGAGTGATACTGGAAGCACAAGCAACGTCTATCCTGTCTCGGAGGAAAGGCAGCAAAAGGGCACAGCAGCTCCCTTGGCTCTGCAGGGAACTAGTGGACCTCTTGAGTCTAAAAAGGAGGACCTATAAAGGATGGAGGACTGGATCCACCTCAAAGGATCTGCACTGGTCCAGGCCTGTAGGGAGTGAACCAGGAAAGCCAAGGCTGCGACTGAACTCCAACTGACTATACGTATCAAGGATAATAAAAAGTCCTTTTTTAGATATGTGGGGAGCCGGAGGAAAAGCAAGGGTAACATTGGACCCTGCTAAACCATATGGGACAACTGACAACTTACGTCCAGGAAAAAGCCAACCTCCTTAATGGGTATTTTGCATCAATTTTTCATCAGCCCCAAGGGACAGCCCTGCTCAGTATGGTATGGAATGGCCAGGGCAAGGGAGAATTGTTACACTTCATCAATGTTGACCATGTGAAGGAACACCTTGAAAGGCTGGACACCTTTAAGTCAGGCAGCCCAGACAGTTTACACTCCAGGGTACTTATGGAGCTGGCAAGTATCATAGGTCAGCCCCTGGCATGGATCTTTGAGAACTCCTGGCACTCTGGTGAAGTGCCTGAAGATTGGAAGAAGGTCAGTGTGGCACCTATCTTCAAGAAAGGGAGGAAAGTAGACCCAGGGAACTACAGGCCCAACAGCCTGACCTCTATCCAGGAGAAGATCTTGGAAAAAATTATCAAAGAGACCATTCTTGACAAACTGGCCGATGGCAACATCCTGAGGGATAGCCAGCATGGATTTGTTGCAGGTAGGTCTTGCCTGACCAATCTCATCTCCTTCTATGACCAGGTGACCTATCACCTGGACAAAGGAGAAGAGATTGACGTTATATATCTTGATTTTAAAAAAACTTTCCATCTGGTATCCCATGACCATCTCATAGGAAAACTGGCCAACTGTGGCCTTGGCTACGTCACAGTTCACTGGCTGGGGAATTGGCTCTGAGGTTGGACCCAGAGAGCGGTAGTCGACAGAAGTCAATCATCGTGTTGTGCTGTGACCAGTGGGGTCCCCCAAGGTTCCGTCCTTGGGCCTATACTCTTTAACATCTTCATTAATGATGTGGACACTGGTGTCAGACGTGGACTGGCCAAGTTTGCCAATGACACCAAACTTTGGGGTAAAGCGTCCCTCACCTGAGGACAGGATGGTGATCCAGGCTGACCTTGACAGGCTCAGAAAATGAGTGGATGCAAACCTGATGGTGTTCAACACCGAAAAATGCAAGGTACTCCACCTTGGGAAGAAAAACGCGCAGCATGCTTACAGGCTCGGCAGTGCTACGCTTGCTAGCACCACAGCCAAAAGGGACTTGGGGGTCATGATTGACCACAAGATGGATATGAGCCACCAATGTGATATTGCAGCTGGTAAAGCGAGCAAAACTCTGGCTTGCATTCATAGATGCTTCTCAAGGAAATCCCAGGATGTCATCCTCCCGCTGTACTTGGCCTTGGTGAGGCCACAGCTGGAGCACTGCATCCAATTCTGGGCTCCGTAATTTAAAAAGGATGTTGAGAAGCTTGAGAGTCCAGAGGACAGCAACTTGCATGATCAGAGGGCAGGATAACAGGCCTTATGATGACAGGCTGAGAGCTATAGGACTCTTCAGCCTGGAAAAGCACAGGTGCAGGGGGGACCTGGTAGCTACCTATAAGTATATAAGAGGTGTACATCAGGATCTGGGGGAATGCCTGCTCACCAGAGCACCCCAAGGGATGACAAGGTCAAATGGTCACCAACTCCTCCAAGACCGTTTCAGGCTGGGCATAAGGAAA